GGAAGCTGGGATTTGTAACAGAGCTGGGACTCAAATGTAGGCACTCTGATATGGAATGCAAGCATCCCAACCAGTGTCCTAAGCAATAGGCTTGAAGTAGCTGCCTCTTCTCTCTTGAGAATTAGCAAGGATCCCATGAGAACTACTTCCATTCGTTTGAGGACAGTGCCCCTCAACAACAGTGCTCCCAGTAAGCTCTACCTCTTAAAGGTTTCACCACCTCTGGTGGACCAGCCTTTGCACGTGGGAACCGTTGGGGGATACACCAAACCAGAGCATCCTGCCAAGGAGCAGAAGCCAAGCCATAAACTGTGGAATGAAGCTAAAAAGTCATGAGTCAAAGAATCCAGCAAATCGGAAGCCAGATTCGGAGAACAAGAACAGACAGGAGGTAGAAAGGGGTCAGTATGGAGGAAAACAGACATGGAGCCAGGGTAGTGCCCTTCCTCTTGATCACCACATAGCTGCCTTCTCTGTGTCATCATAACCTCATTTAAACATCACCCACAGAGAGACCTTTAGGGACCATCCACATTGAAAGTAACACTTAGCTGCTCATCACATTTCCATGGTTTTTTTTTTTTAAAGATTTTATTTATTTGACAGGCAAAGTTACAGACAGTGAGAAAGAGAGAGAGAGACAGAGAGAAAGGTCTTCCTTCTGTTGGTTCACTCCCTCAAATGGCCGCCACGGCCGGAACTGCACTGATCCGAAGCTAGGAGCCAGGTGCCTCCTCCTGGTCTCCCATATGGGTGCAGGGGCCCAAGGACTTGGGCCATCCTCCACTGCTTTCCCAGGCCACAGCAGAGAGCTGGACTCGAAGAGGAGCAGCTGGACTAGAACCAGCACCCATATGGCATGCCGGAGCCACAGGCAGAGGATTAACCTAGTGTGCCCCAGCACCAGCCCCTCCATGGTTTTTTTTTAAATATTTATTTATTTAATTTATTAAGATTTATTTGAAAGAGTTACAGAGAGAAGGAGATGGGGGATGGGGAGACAGAGAGAGATCTTCCATCTACTGGTTTACTTCCCAAATGGCTGCAACAGCTGGGCCAGGCTGAAGCCAGAAGCCTGGAACTCTGCCAGGTCTCACACATGGGTAGCAGGGCCCCAAGTATTTGGGCATCTTCTACTACCTATATTTTCTTGCTCCACATAGCACTATAGTGCTGCCTGATATTCTTCTTTATGTATTTAGCTACTGACTTATTGTCCATTTCTTCCCACTAGCATGTAAGATTCATGAGAGTATAACTCTTCTTTCCTCTGTATCCCTAATGACAAGAATAGTGCCTCAAATATTTTAAACACTCAGTAGATAATGGATGGATGAATTAAATTTCAAGAACACTTCATAGTTTTTTTTGTTTTGTTTTTGTTTTTGTTTTTTAATGTTTAGTTGTTTGAGAGACAGAGAGAGAAAGTCCTCCCATTTTCTGGTTCACTCCCCCAAAGGTCTGCAACAGCCCCAGGTCAGATAAAGTGGGGAGCTGATCATTCAGCTCTCCCACGTGAGTAGCAAGGACCCTATAACTTGAGCCATCACTGCTGCCTCCCAGAGTCTGCATTAGCAGGAAACTGAGGTGAGAAGATGGGCAATGAACCCAGGAGCCAGGTGCTTCTCCTGGTCTCCCATGCAGGTGCAGGGCCCAAGCACTTGGGCCATCCCCCACTGCACTCCCGGGCCACAGCAAAGAGCTGGCCTGGAAGAGGAGCAACCAGGACAGAATCCAGTGCCCCAACCAGGGCTAGAACCCTGGGTGCCGGCGCAACAGGCGGAGGATTAGCCTAGCAAGCTGTAGCACCGGCTACGATTCCCTTTTGATTATAATATAGCCTAGGATGGGCCGCCGCTATGGCACAGTAAATTAATCCTCCGCCTGCAGTGCTGGCATTCCATATGGGTGCCAGTTCTAGTCCTGGCTGTTCCTCTTCTGATCCAGCTCTCAGCTATGGCCTGGGAAAGCAGTGGAAGATGGCACAAGTGCTTGGGTTCCTCCACCTTCATGGGAGATCTGAAAGAAACTCCTGGCTTCTGGCTTTGGATCTGCCTAGCTCCAGCTGTTGGGGACATTTGGGGAGTGAATCAGAGGATGGAAGACTTTTCCCTCTGTCTCTCCCTCTCACTGTCTGTAACTCTACCTCTCAAATAAACAAAATCTTTATATACGGCCTAGGTACGGAGCAGACTGTCCCACCTACTTCATGTAAATACTTATTACGATGTTTACATAATTGTGAAATCACCTCACAACACATTTCTTGGAACAAATGCCGACGGTTAATCAAGGCAAGACTGTACTTACCGGGTGCCAGGCACTGTGCTAAGTCCTTGCCTATAGTATGTCACTTAATCCCCACAAGTTGTTTCACACTTCAAATGAGGGCCTGGGGCGCCTCTATGCCTCTGTCTCGTCTTCTTTCTGACACTCCCCACCCCCATCAATTTAGGTGTTTTTTTTTTTAAGATTTTATTTATTTATTTATTTGAGAGGTAGAGCTACAGACTGTGAGAGGGAAGGACAGAGAGAAAGGTCTTCCTTCCATTGGTTCACTCTCCAAATGGCTGCAACAGCCGGAGCTGTGCCGATCTGAAGCCAGGTGCCAGGAACTTCCTCCTGGTCTCCCACATGGGTGCAGGGCCCAAGGACTTGGGCCATCTTCCACTGCTTTTCCAGGCCACAGCAGAGAGCTGGACTGGAAAAGGAGCAGCCGGGACTAGAACCGGTGCCCATATGGGATGCCGGCACCACAGGCGGAGGATTAACCTACTGTGCCATGGCACCGGCCCCCTATCAAGTGTTTTAATAAAATGAGGGGTTGAGACTCAGAGAGGTTGTATCTGTACGTGTTAAGCAGCAGACTCTGGATTTATATACAGACTTTTGTTTCTATCCTAATCTATCTTGTGAGATCAACCCACTGCCAGAAGTGCATCAGTATTTTTAGTGTACATTATTTTTGTCCCAACTCATTTATTAGCTGATAGTATAATATAGGACAAGATATTAAACATCTCAAGGATATTAGTCTCTTCACCTGCTGAATGGGAATTAGATAAAATTAACTCGTCTCTTCCAGCTCCAAAAACTTTCATGCGTCTCCAAGTTCCTACCCTTTCAAGTATTTGATTGAGCAACACCATCTGCTTCTGCATTTCTATGTATTTCATGTTGTGGTTGTATCAAAACAGCATAAACCAGTTTCCATTTCTATAAGTTCTTTCCTTGAAACCACCTGATTTAACTTGAAATGAAAAGTGAACTGAACAGAGGAACATCACTAAAGCCACAGAAGAGAAGTTCCTGCCTCAAGCATAGTCTGTGCATTGCCTAACAGAGTTAATCTCGGGGCTCAATTACCCATGGGAGGAAAACCCTCGCCAATGAGAGTATTTCTGAGGGAAAGCCATGGAAGAATTCAAGTGCAGGCTCTCCAGTGCGTGCATTCTGCATACTAGCACGTACTAGTCCCCAGTATATTTATTATTTATGAAATTTTTAATTGTAGAAGGGGGCAGAGGAGGAAGAATCTGATCCAAATCCCTTCACCTTTTTTTTTAGCAACAAAGAAGCAAATGGAAGCAGCCTTTGGCTCTCCTCTTTGTGAAAATCTACTGTGATTCATTCAGCTGTGCTGTGTTCGGATTGCTAACCTTTGAAATGAGCAGGTTTGGATTGTTCTGAATCTATGAATTAACCCGAAAGGGATAAAACCTGGCAAGAAACCCCTCTGAAAATGTGGTAGAGGGCCAGCTTTGTGGCACAGCAGGTTAAGCTGCCATTTAACAATGCTGGCATCCTGTATCAGGGTGCCAGTTCAAGTTCTGGCTGCTTAGCTTCCAATCCAGCCCCCTGCTAATGCATCTAAAAAGCCAGTGGGAGACTCAGGATTTTCTGGCTCTTGGTTTCAGCCTGGCCCAGCTCCAACTGTTGCAGCCATTTGGAGAGTGAACCAGCAGATGGAAGATCTCTGTGTATGTGTCTCTCCCTCTCTCTCTGTCACTCTGCATTTCAAATAATTTTTAAAAAAATATTTTTAATGCAGCAGCCAGCTTGAAACATCATCCTAAACTCCCAAAGAATAGCAGGTCTTAGATTGAAAGTCATAGACACAAATGAATTAATAACTAAAATTTAAGCATATTTTTAGGAAGGCTACAGTCTAGAAGTGAAAGCTTTAAAACTCTCACAGACTAGGTAACAGTTTGAATCCCCAAGATCTTCCCCACAGAAGCTACACAGTGGTTTTGATGTATTTTCTCCACTGGCAAGGAAGAAACAAAGAGGAAAGCAAGCAGGAAAGAAATCAGGGCATTGAGGTCAGCACAGAGCTGAATCTGAAAAACTTTCAGAGATGGAACAGAGAGGAAGATTGGATATGCAAGGCTCAGTCAGTAATGGCTCATAAATGCATTCCCTGGGTAGCAGGATTTCTTATAATGAGATCACCTTCTAGGATGTGATAACCAGCTCTACGCTTTATCCAACCATTCCCAACAATTGTGTAAATGCAGATCATTCTGCCCGTCAGTCTTCATTATAGCAAACTAAATAACACAAATCCTTGCCCTATCCTCATACATTGCATTTTAATGTGAAAATCAGTGTTAAAGTTTTTCATTATAACCATTTTCTCTCCAGTAACATTCGGTAGCTCATTTCTATTTTTGTTCATGCCTGATATTTACCTCCTCCCTGTGTACTCAACACCATCCCTCCATTTGCTGAAAAATACCCTAGAATTGAGACAGATTGGGTAGCTAGTGGGAGGACCCAATAGTAAGAGGTAATTTTTAACCAGTATTTTAACACCTGCAATGAGCTTATTAACCTTAAATATAGTGACTTTGCTTATGGAATTTTTAAAATCTCTGTTTCAAAAGCAGAAATGATTTAAAGAAGTACTCCTCTCTCTACCTCCACCTCTAAGGCAGTCCATTACACAGAAAAAGGAACCAAAGAGAGCAAGGTCTCACTTGCTTTAAATAGTAGGTTTAAGGCTGGGGAGTAACATCAGTTACAAGAAAGGCAGATGAAATGAAGACAAAGTGTCACTGATTTTTGTCCCTGTTCCTAGAAAGAAGATTGCTGATTTAGAGTCACCTTGGCTTGCTCAAGACCTTCCCGGCATGACAACCTAGCTCCAAGGTAAGATTCCCTGGGCCAGCAGCTTTGCTCTAATGCTGTCATCCAAAGAGACCAGGCTTGCCCCTGACCGGCTTCCTGAGGTTCCTGGGTCCCCCAGAGCAGCAGCTCAATGTCTCCATTTGGAGATGGGATCTTCCTGCTAACGGCACAGTACCACCAGAGTCTCAAAGCAGCTCTAAACCTGAGAACTGTGTCCAAACAGATGGACACTGAGCCTGGAGGTTCTCCAGGATTCAGTGCAGATGCTTTGCAGAGGAAAGAAATTGTGGCTTGCAGCCCCGAAAGGGCAAAATGACCCTCTTCTTGGCCTTAATATGACGTTGAGCAAAACAATAGACCTGAGAGGCATAAACAAAAAGAGCACTGTGTGCCGTGAAATGTGCTGAGTGATTGATAGCCCTCTCAAAAGCTCACTGGGTTTTAGAAAGCAGAAAAGACTTGAAGAGTTAAAAGGTCGAAGGTCATAATAGAGCTGGTAGGTAGAAGGGGCAGCATCTAAACCCAGGACCACAGGGTGCCAAAACTTGAGTGTCGCCCCATTACCTCCTATTCAAGTGCTTTAAAACCATTTTAAAAAATGCTTAAGGATGAAGGATTCTCCTGGTTATGTGCAATAAATCAAAGTTCCTAGGAAACTTTATGAGATTCAGGGAAGTTTTACTTGGATTTTGTTCAAGTGCTGCATTACTTTCAGATGCCCTTCCAGAGTTCAGGCACAGAATTAAAAAAAAAGATTAAAACTTCCTTATAACTCAGTTTTCTCATATGCACTCACAGATGAGACCACACACACACACATACACATACATACACACACACAAATCCCACACCTACTCAGATTCCACAGATAAGCACACAAAGACCACAGACACCACAAACCACACATACAGAGATCTCACAAGTACATCACAGATACACAGACACAGACCACACACACAGCTCCCCCCACCTATTCCATGAATGCAAACACACACCACAGAGACCCACAAAGGCACCACAGATACATAGAAAAACCACAGACAGAGCTACAGAGACACATACACAGAAATGCACACACACAGGGTATACACACAGACTGAAACTTCTCGGGGGGATTTGGTTTCTCCTTTTCTACTCAAGCCCCAAAACCTATCCAGTTTCCACCTTATTGTCAGCTCATTCACATCTCACCTCCTGCTGCTGATGGTTTCTCTCCTTTGCACTCTGCTCTAAATAGGGAACCCAAGCTCGTTTTCTCTGGTTCTCTACAATCACTGCCAACTCAAGACAAAAGTGAATTAATGGGGAGAAGAGACATGACACTGTATCAAGGCTCAGCAAATGGATTAAAATTCAGTATTGGACATTTGTCTTGCAATTCCCTGTGTCATTTCTGGTTCTCAGAATGTCTAATGAACCCTCTCCCTCCTTAGGCCTCCAAACCTCCTCCTGATGTTCCAAATTCCCTCTCTTGAGATCATCCTCGGCCAGCGCCAAGGCTCACTTGGCTAATCCTCCGCCTGCGACGCCAGCACCCCGGGTTCTAGTCCTGGCTGGGGCGCCGGTTCTGTCCCAGTTGCTCCTCTTCCAGTCCAGCTCTTTACTGCGGCCTGGGAAGGCAGTGGAGGATGGCCCGGGTGCTTGGGCCCTGCACCCACATGGGAGACCAGGAGGAAGCACCTGGCTCCTGGCTTCAGATCCGCACAGTGCGCTGGCCGTAGTGGCCATTTCGGGGTGAACCAACGGAAGGATATACCTTTCTCTTTGTCTCTCTCTCACTGTCCAAATCTGCCTGTCAAAAAAAAAAAAAAAATCATCCTCACTTTTCCTCCCTCCTCTCCAGGTCCCAGGACCTGCACACAGCCCCTGTCTCAAGTTCTCACTTTCATTTGCCATTGCCCAGTGATTTCATTCCATGTTTATTCCCAAAGTAGACTACTAAGGTATTTTTCTTAAAAAAAAAAAAAAGATTTATTTATTTTTATTCGAAAGGCAGAGTTACAGAGAGGCAGAGATAGAGAGAGATTCCCCCATCCTCTGGTTCACTCTCTAAATGACCATAACAAGAAGCCAGAAACTCAATCCAGGTCTCCCATATGGATGACAGGAGCCCAATTACTTGAGTCATTCACAATACTATGAAGCTGGAGTCAGAAGTGAAGCCAGGCACAACCACATGGGACACAGGTGTCCTAACCTTCATCTTCATCACTAGGTCAAACACCTGGTCCCAGTCATGGTTTTAAACAACAATTATTTTATTTCTTCTCTCTATAGGCTTAGAACATTTTTGCTTAGGATGGAAATAGCATCGTTAGCAATTTCCATTACTTAATCCAGTTTATCACAAACCAATTTGTTGATATAATAGATACCTTCCAGAATATTGTCAGGTTTATATTTTTGATACTATAGAAACCATTATCTGAGAAATTAGATATTTTAGATAGTCAAAATCACTGATTCATGGAGCATCACCATAGCACTACATAGGAATTACCAATTTTCAAAGGCGTAATATGAAAGAAAGGTAAGGGTCTCTACCTGACATAATTGAAACAAGGTGAAAGATGTTGATAGAAATGTTAACCCTTCTAAGTCTCACTTTCTCTTCTGTTTAAATATTTTTAGCATAAGCTTTATGAGGAAGATAACAATTTTTATGGACAACTCCTGGCATATGAGAAATACTGGGTAAATGTGAGCTCTTTGACTTTTCTCTCCTTCTTTCCCCACACAACAAACAACTACTACTAAAATCCTCCAGCACACTGATTTCCTCTTTTGTTGATGATTCTGAAGGCACCTCACAAGCTTGCAGTGCCCTAGGGCTCCTATATGAACTTGAGTTCTTACTACCACATGTTGACTATTAGAATACTAGATAATAGTGCTTGCTATGTATAGTTAGCATATGAAGGAAAAATCTAATTTGGAAGACCATGATTATAATTTGCAACAGCTGTTGTTATTTTTGTTCATTTCATTAGCAACATTTACCCCAACCATGTCTTAGTCAAGTACAACTGATTCTGCATTGCCTTATTCAAGACATGCCCCATAAGAGGGGTCAAACTTTTGTTAAACATCCAAGTAGAAGACTTCACCTGCCTAAGCTAATTTACTAACAGCGGTCAAAATATTATTTTATTCCTCTTTCACATTTATTTACTTTCCTCTGTAGTATTTCTGATGCTCAAATTAATTTGATCTTAATTCCTCATACAGCATAAATGTATTAGACCTTGGGAAAATATGTGATTGCTGTTCTTGTAGAAATATTATGCATGGGGGCCAGTGCTGTGGCACAGCAGATTAAAGTCCTAGCCTGTAGCACCAGCATCCCATATGGGCACCAGTTCAAGTCCTGGCTGCTCCACTTCCATTCCAGCTCCCTGCAAATATGCCTGGGCCCCTGCACCCACATGGAAGACCAAGAAGCTGCTCTTGGCTCCTGGTTTCAGATCGGCTCAGCTCTAGCCATTGTGGCCATTCGGGGAGTGACCCAGCAGATGGAAGACCTCTCTCTTTCTCTCACATAGCTAATATGAATGAAGAACAGCATAGCTAAGATCTATTTAATGTTTACCATGTGCCAGAGTCCATGCAGAAACAGACACTGATAGTTGCCTACCTGACAGCCTTCTAAAAAAAAAAAAGAAATATCATGTTTGCCACTGTTAAAATGTTCTTTAGATTATTACAATAGAAAAACCAACCTTTTAATTTCTACATTCCTTGCTCTTTGTTGTTATTTTCATTGTTTTTCACTCCACAGGAAATTATGGATCTGATCAACTCTACTGATGACCTGATTGATATCTCCGATGTAGTAAGAAACAGCACTCATGTTCCTGCTCCTGCCCCCAGACTGGTCCTTGTCCTTCCAATGTTCATGGCATTCATAGTTGGTTCCATCACTAATGGCCTCTATCTGTGGGTGCTAAAATGCAAGATGAAAAATTCAGTCAATACTCTCTTATTTTTTCATCTCATTCTCTCCTATTTTATTTCAACATTGATTTTACCATTTCTGGCCACCTCCTATCTTCAGGACAACCACTGGACCTTTGGAAGCGCTTTATGTAAGATCTGCAACAGCACTTTGACTCTGGCGATGTTCGCCTCTGTTTTGTTCCTCTCGGCCATCAGTCTAGATCGTTATCTTCTCACCCTTCACCCAGTGTGGTCCCAAAAGCACCGAACCTCACACTGGGCTTCCAGAGTCGTTCTGGGAGTCTGGCTCTCTGCCACTGCCTTCAGCGTGCCCTATTTGGTTTTCAGGGAGACATATGATGACCGTAAAGGAAGAGTGACCTGCAGAAATAACTACGCTGTGTCCACTGACTGGGAAAGCAAAGAGATGCAAACAGTAAGACAATGGATTCATGCCACCTGTTTCATCAGCCGCTTCATACTGGGCTTCCTTCTGCCTTTCTTAGTCATTGGCTTTTGTTATGAAAGAGTAGCCCGCAAGATGAAAGAGAGGGGCCTCTTTAAATCCAGCAAACCCTTCAAAGTCATGATGACTGCTGTTATCTCTTTCTTTGGGTGCTGGATGCCCTACCATGTACATCAGGGCTTAATTCTCGCTAAGAACCAGTCGTTACTTGTAGAGTTGACTTTGATCCTTACAGTGTTTACCACTTCTTTCAATCCTGTCTTCTCTCCCATACTTTATCTATTTAGTGGGGAGAACTTCAAAAACGTTTTCAAGAAATCCATTCTTGCTCTATTTGAGTCAACATTCGGTGAGGATTCTTCTGCCGAAAGAACACAAAACCTACATTCAGGAGTCGACATTTAAATTCTGAATTCTTAAGCAAACCTAGACTGTCCATTATACCATCAGATACACATCCTCTTGCTTTTGTAGTCCCTACATTGCAGAGTCATCGATGTTGTACCATACTTAGATCTATGAATATTGAAACAACTGCAAGAAAACAAGCAATAGGTCATATCGCAAATGTCATTGTTTAACTTTTTTATTACAAAAAAAAAGTTACATAAAATTTGCTATTTCAGTATATATTTCAGTGGAATTTGTTATTTTTAATTTGTTATATTTAATACTGAGCAACTATCACCATTATCTATTATCTCTTTGGAAATCCAAAGAGAAACTCTGTATCCATTAAGTAATAATTTCCCATTTCCTCTCCCTCCAGTCCCTAGTAAACTCCCATTTACTACTTTGTCTCTAAGAACTTGCCTATTCTAAATATTCCAGATAAGTGGAAGCATACAATGTCTTTTTGCATCTTATTTATTTCATTGAGCATAATGTTTTCAAGGTTCATCCATGTGGGGCAGGTGTGTGGCACAATGGGTTAAGCCACCACTTGGGACAGCCATAGCATATAAGGGTGCTTAGGATTAATTTCCACCTCCACTTCCATCCAGCTTCCTGTTAATGCTCCTGAGAGGCAACAGATGATGGGTCAGGACTTGAGGCTCTGACACCTACATGAAAGACCCAGATGGAGTTTCTGGCTCCTGACTTTGGCTTTGCCTAGCCCTAGCTGTTGTGAACACTTGGGGAGTACATAGAAGATTTCAAGTGTTCTCTCTCTCTCTCTCTCCCTATTTTTCTCTCTTTTTCTCTCTCTCTCGTTCTGTTACTCTGCCTTTCAAGTAAGTAAATAAGTAATTTTTAGGGGCCAGAGTTATAGTGCAATGGGTTAATACACCTCTTGCAACTTCGGCATCCCAAATCATAGTGCCACTTTGAGTATAGGCTGCCCTGCTCCCAATCCTGCTTCCTGCTAATGTGCCTGGGAAGGTAGCAGAAGATGACCCATGTACTTGGGCCTCTGCCACCCATGTACAAGCTACCGATGGAGTCCAGGCTCCTGGCTCCACCTTGGACCAACCTCAGGCATGTGGCCATTTGAGAAGTGAACCAGCCAATGGAAAATCAACATCTCTTTCTCTCTCTCTCACTCTGTCTGTCAAATAAATTTTAAAAATCCTTAAAAATAAAGTCTTTTAAAAAGTTACTTTTAAAAATTTTCATCCCCTTTGTAAGATGTATCAGAACTTCACTCCTTTTTATGGTTGAATTATATTCCATTGTATGTATATACTACATTTTAAAAATTAATTTATCTGTTGATGGATACTTGAATTTTTCTACCTTTTGACTATTGTAAATAATGCTACTATGAACATTAATTTTAGTTGTATTGCATTCTCACCAATAGTTGCTGTTTTCCTTGTTTAAGTTGTCATCCTACCAGATTGGAATGGTACATATGTAATTTTTAATCTTTGATTTTTGAAGTTAGGATATCAATTTCTAAATGGCAATGGTATCATGGATTTTAATTTTCTGTCACAGAATCTTCTATAAAACAGACATTTGGGCAGAGCTCCCTCTGTACTTAACACCTAAATTATTTAACTGGAATAGGCAAAACAACATGGAAGCAACAAGGCACTCTTTTTGTCATACACATATTAAAGAATAAGCACATTTGTGCTTTAATGTTATAACTATAAAGACATCTTAAGTGTCTCTTTTTAATACTTACAAATGAAGCTGTTTCTGAAATGTTGGACCAAGAAAATCATAATGTTTAAGAATCTGCCTGTCAGAGCATATTTGATTTTATAATAGCAATAACAATATTAATTTATCTTGGTTTTCAAGTTTTGCTTCAAGTTTTTTGCAATGTATTATAGTACCTAGATTATATATAGGACCACAAAGTATCACTGACCCATTACCTTTTTGATTTAGTCAGTTTTATCCATCAATCAACAGATGTCAATTGGGATATAATCCTATCTACCACAAAGCAACTAAGCTAAATTGTTTCATTAGTTCAATTGCTGCAGCATGGAAATATTTAGGTGACATTCCACATGCAGGCCCTAAATGTGCCAGCTAACTTTCCACAAACCATTTCAGATCAAGACATATACCCTAACCAAAAACTCCCATAATATAGTATTAGGAACGTCTAGCCCATGGACCTAAATGGCCAACAAAATCATTTGGTCTAGACCTGCCAAGGCAACTGCAGGTAGTATTAGAAGTTCAATAAATCAATAGCAGACTATTTTTAAGTTGATAGTTTTGTATGGCCTACCAATGATGTCATAAATTTCCAAATGGCCCTTGGCAGAAAAAAGTTCCCCCCACTTCCCAAGATAGATGATGTTGATTAAAAGTTGCAGAAAGGAAAAGAGATTAACCTTCATCACTAAATTTCTACTGAGAGAAAGATACAGTGGCTTGGTGCCCTAGAAATCCTGCTAATTGACATGGGCAACTAGATGCTTGATCTCTCTCATTTTGAATATGACAAAAGTTTGGATGAATGCAAAGTTTAATTGTTGACCCTCCCCTAGCAAGCTTTTTGAGCCTAGTAGTTTTCCCAGAGAGGAAGGGGCGGGACTGGTGGCTGGACTGCGGCTCTGAGTGGTCCCACAATGGGAAGCAGAAGGCACTTCTTGCCTCCCCACACTCCTCCAGGCCCTGACAAGCCTACTGAAGTTTTGTGATGCCAGACCCGGGAAGAAGAGCAGTTGAATAGAACATAGCAGTCTTTGAAACAAGAATTGTGCTTTGGAAACCTACCAGTGATAGAGAGTGCCTTTCATCTCCCTCCTGAGACCTCTACAATAACAAATAAAGAATAGTTGCTGAATTGGGTGGATTTTGTGGTGTTTGCAAGCTGTGTGCTGTCGTTCCTCACAGCTATCTGTGTATGCTTTGAGTTGTCTTTTTATGCGGCCTATTTTGGGGGCTCTTTTATTTACAGGAATTTCTTTCATCTCTCTCTCTACATTGTAAACTCCTCCAGGACAGAAAGAAGCCTATCAATGACAATATTTCTTTTCTAAAATATTATACACAACTGAAATCCAATAAATGATATTCAGTGAAAACCAAATATAGTAATACAATATGTAAACCACTGTATAAAATATAAGATATTAAGATTTTTAAAAAATAAATCACATTACGAAAATAGGGTTTAGACTTGAGAAAACTGCCCCTCAAATATATTTTTAACACGCCCTCAAACTAAGGTTAATTTTGATTAAATCTTCTCGTTAGAGTTGTCTTGATCTCATCAGGCTCCTCACTGTTTTGAATTCTCAGGACTTAAAAGGTTTATGAGAAAATTAGTGGCTTTGCTGTGTGGAACTGGTGCAGAGACAGTGTCTCAAAACAACGTGCCTATTAGCATCCAATTATGTAAACCTGCTTTGTTATATCAGTATCCAACTGGCTCAGGAACAGAAAACAGCAGTGGTTAGAAATGTGTTTCCAATGCCAGGCCTAGGTCTTTCTTCACAAAATGGCTCTTTGTTGTGCTGAGCTGAATAGGCTGCCCAGCTGTGGACATATGAGAAGAGCAAGGGTGAAAGGTAGGATGGGAAGGGCAGTGCACACCTGAGTCCCAGACTCCATCACCCCAAGAGACCTGGGGTAGCAATTATTTCCTAGTGTTGTGTGTGTGCCTGGCACAGAGGCAGCCTCTGCAGGTGCAATAGTGAGGGAGACACAGGTTCTAACCTTACAGAACCTAAAGCCTGATACAGTGGTTCCAAATTTGGCTCCACCTTATAATCATCTGGGATATTTTTTTAAAAATTCCAGTATTTAGGCCTTACCCAAGCCAATTAAAAATGAACTCTCCAGCGCAGGACCCAGGAATTGGTATTTTTCAAAAGTTCTCAGATTAACTCTAAAGTACAACCAGGATAGAAAACTCTGACTTAGTAGGAAAGAAAAAGAAGCCAGAAGGTAATTATAGTACAAAGGAGTAAGTGTCACGTTTCTGATAACAGGTAGATGCCCACCCCCACAACCCAGCCCTCACCAGTGAAACAAGTTTTCCTTAGTGAGGGACAGTCTGGCTAAGTCACACAGAATGGGGCCAGGCAGGATAGCTCAATTGAGAAAGAAGCCCATGTAAAAGCCTAAGCAGGAGCACAGTGCTATACGGTAGCTTTATCCATGGCCAACACTGTGGGATAGTGGGTAAAGCCACCGCCATATGGGTGTCAGTTCGAATCCCAGCTACTCCACTTCTGATCCAGCTCCCTGCTAATGTGCCTGAGAAAGCAGTAGAAGATGGCCCAAGTGCTTGGGCCCCTGCACCCTTGTGGAAGACCCTATAGAAATCCAGAAGACTCCTGGCTTCAGATCAGCCTGGCTCCAGCCACTGCGGCCATTTGGGAAGTGAACCAGTAGATGGAAAGTCAATTTCTTTCTCTCTCTCTGTAACTCTGCCTTTGAAATAAACAAATAAATCTTTTTTAACAAAAGAAATGTTTTAAAAAAGATAGTTTTACCTGCACTTCAGTATTCAAAGGAATCACCTAATAATTCTTGTTAAAATGCTGATTCTGATTTAGTAAGTTTGGCGTATCAGTTGCTAGTCCAGCACAAGCACACACAAAAAAGTATGAAAAATAGATGTGAGAAGCAGGCTGGTGAAAATGGGCTGGGAAGATCAGCCAGAACCAGATCTCAAGACCTATGGATCCTGGGGTTTATCCCAAGGGCATCAGGGAGTTCCTGAAGTGTCTGTCTTAAGTCACGGAAAGATAGGATCAGATTTGCATCTTAGAAAGATCACTTAGGCTACAGTAATTGACAGGTGAGGGGTCAAATAGGACAATGGTGTAGTAATCTGGGTAATAGATGATGAGGCCTCAACTGAGAAAGTGGAAGTGGGGACAGAATGAGAGCCTTTAGTGGCTGGAATTGTGCGTGGTGGGCTAAGCTGCAACTTGTGATGCCAGCATCCCAAAATGAAAGTATCAGTTCGAGTTCCAGCTGCTCTGCTTCTGATCCAGCTCCCTACTGATACACCTGGGACAGTAGCGCAAGATGGCCTGAGTATTCAGGCCCCTGCCACCCACGTGGGAAACCTGGATGGAGTTCTTGGCCCAGACCTGCCTATTGTTTGGGGCATTTGGGGAGTGACTCAGCTGATGGAAGACCTCTCTCTCTCTCTCTCTCTCTCTTTCTCTCTCTTTCTCTCTCTGTCTCTCTCTGTCTCTCTCTGTCTCTCTCTCTCTGCATCACTCTGCCTTTCAAATAAATGGGCAAAACTTTTCCTTAAAAAAAAGTCATAAATTATGTTCGCTGAAGAGTGGAGGGAGGAGGAAGATTGAGGATGATTTCTGTTTAAACTAGTGTTCTTTGTTCTAAACAGTAGATTTCATTCTGGCTGGTTTTTGGTTAAATAACCAAAAACTGATTTATTTAAAAAAATCTTAAGCAGGAGCCAAGTGTTGTGGCACAGCGGGTAAAGCCAAAGCCTATAACACGGCATCCCATATGGGCACTGATTCGAGTTCCGGCTACTCCACTTGCTAATGTGTGTGGGAAAGCAGTGGAAAACAGTCCAAGTTCTAGGGTCCCTGCACCCAGTTAGGAGACCTGGAGACTTTCAAATAAATAAATACATTTTTTTAAAAAGATTATTTATTTGAGAGACAGAGTTACAGAGAGAGAGAAGAAGAAACAGAGAGAGAGAGAGAGAGAGAGAGGTCTTCCATCTGCTTTTACACTCTCCAAATGGATACAAGGGCTGTAGCTGGGCTGATCCAAAGCCAGGAGCCTGGAGCTTCTTCCAAGTCTCCCAAATGGGTGCAGAGATCCAAGCACTTCGACCATTTTCTACTGCTTTCCCAGGCCATTAGCAGGGAGCTGGATTGGAAGTGGAGCAGCTGGGACTCAAACCGGCGCTCAAATGCTATGCCGGCACCACAGGCAGAGACTTAATCTACTTCACTACAGTGCCAGCCCCAATAAATACATCTTTAAAGAAAAATAAATCTTAAGTAGCTCACAGACTTATTGGGCTTGCTGGAGAAACATTTAATGCCAAGGTGCCAAGAATAATGCCCCAAACTGTGTCCCTGTTTCAGTAAATGATGCCAACTGCTGCTGTTGCTGCCACTGAGCCCAACAGACCAGCGACTTGATGTTACTGCTGCTCAACTGCCATCAATACTCTTTCTGCATCAAGGCTTGAACCCTCTGTGCCCGAAAGCTCTGCCAGCAAGTGACAGTTTGTCTCATAAAGAGCTTGTTCTTCACATTGCTCACTTCCAAATTTAGTCTACACAAGTGTGTCTAAGTGACGTACCTGCATCCTAGCTGCAAAAGAGGCAAGTGTGATGTCTATATCTGTCTGTATCTAGATATCTATATAGATAGGGAGGTTTTCGTCCATAGTTCCTAGCTCATATCTCCCTCCTCAAGGCAGGCACAGAAACTAGAATCTCTTTTGCCTGAGGCAGGTCAAGGAAACTCTAATCTTTCCCTGCCTTTCTGTCTTGGAGTTGATCTTAAAGAAAACCCGAGACCTACCTTGTCTGACAGTAGATCCTAAGATTGTCCTCATTCCTGCAGGGTCCTGCTGCATAGCCAGGAGTGGTGAAAGATCTGAATGAATAGGCTTTGCTGGGTGCCCCTGTCCCCCCCCCCCCCCCGTCTGCTAGTAATCAGGCCTACGCAATGAGGACGCCATGAATACTCAGAAGGGTGGGGCTGGGAGAGCTTCTAGGGAGGGGAACACATGGAGAGGCCCAGAGTGTGGTGCACCCAGAGATGTGTGGAAGCTCTCACCCCTTCCCATAGGCCTTGCCCCATCCATCTTTTGGTCTGTATCCTTTGAAATATGCTTTATAATATGTGTTTCCCTGGGCTCTGTGAGCTGTTCAAGAAAATTAATCAAATCTAAGAGAGGGTGGCAGGAACCCCAATCAGTAGCTACTTGGTCAGAAGTTCTAGAATCTCCAAGTTGCCACTGAGTCTGAAGTGAGGGCAGTTCTGGGGATTGAACCTCCAACCTGTGGGATTTGATGCTACCTCCAGGAAGATAGTGTCACAATTGAACTGGAGAACCCCCAGCTGGTGTCACTGATGCAAAATTGATCACTTACTTGCTGGTGTGTGGGGGAAAGTCCCACACATCTGGTGTCAGAAGTGATCCATACTGTGAGCAGATTCATAGGAGGAAAAACTAAATGTAAGGGGTTTTTTTCCGCTTTCTATATAAACAGAGGTGGGAAGAAAGGGAAGGAAGGAAGAGCAAGAGGGAGGGAAGGAAGGAAGGTAAAGGTAAAGGTAATGATTTCAGTCTTGGACATGTTAAGCTTCAAGTTCCTGAGGGACATCCAAGTGGGTTTTCAATACGTATTTGGATATAAGGATATCAAGTTGAGAAATTTGAGTCTTCTAAGCAATTGGATCTCTGTCTTCATTCAGAATCTGCTCAACTGTCATTTCCACAAGAGATACACCTGTTGAAAACCACTCTTTTAGACACCTTTCTCTTCGTAGCCCTGTCACTGCCAGACCTTATATTACATATTTATTTACTCATTTGTCTTTCCCACTCTCTATAATGAGCTTTATGAGGCACAGTTTTCGTAGTTTTGTTCCCTGCTATAGCCACATCGTGGAGAACCATATTTGGCGCATGATCGGTGCCAAATAACTATGTATCCAGTAAATTAATGAATAGTAACTAAAGCTATGAGAAGGGGGGGGGGGACAATGCTGTGGCATAATAGGTAAACCTGCTGTCTACAGTGCCAGCATCCCATATAGGTGCTGGTTTGAGTCCTGGCTGCTCCACTTCGATCCAGCCCTCTGCTATGGCCTTGGAAAGCAGTAGAAAATGGCCCAAGTCTTTGGGCCCCTGCACCCGTGTGGGAGACGTGGAAGAAGCTCCTGTCTCCTGAACTTGGATCAGCGCAGCTCCAACCATTGTGGCCATCTAAGGAGTGAACCAGTGGATGGACCTCTGCTGTGGGGAGCAACTCGGACTAGACTAAGTTACTGGAATTAAGACTTAT